AATCATTCTCTGCGTCCTGCCACAGATTCTCCAGCCATTTTGGCAACTCTACTCTAGTAAATTTCATTCCACATTCTTCTAGTTTATTCAAATATTGCTCCCAAGTTATTGTCGGATTTGGATTCGAGATATGAAATACTTCTATACGAAACAATGCATCTGATGTTATCAAATCCACAAGAGCTCTTGCAGCAATATCCACGGGAATCCAATCTAGATTCGTTTCAAGTATTGGCATTCTTCCCGTTAATCCGGCATTTCCAAGAAGCAAGGGTACCCACTCGTTGGGATTCCATACACCGGTCTCCGTATGTGAAATAATTTGCCCAGTTCTTATTATAGTTGCACGTTCTAGCTGCAGGTGATCATATGTGTTTGTAATGATTGTCTCGATGGCCAATTTTGACAGTCCGAATCCATCCATATTGGTGATCAACGCCTTCAGAGGTAATATCCCTTCTGGAACACGGTCCCAGGGTCCATTAACGCAAGCATCAATACTTGACACGAAATGAAATTCTTTTCGAGCGCCAAAAAGCAGTAAGTTTGCAGTTCCACGCAGCAAGCAATTTTCGTATACAGATAAAGGTGCCCCAAGTTTTGCTGAGGAGGCGCCATGTATTATGGTGGTAACCTTGTGTAGCAGCATCTCATACTCATTCTCACTCAATCCCAGGAAAGGTTCTGAAAGATTCGAGCAGAGAGTAACTAATCTGTCTGAATCTATCAAAGAAGTATCGAAGCCGTTACGCAAGAAGACACGCTTTAGAGATGATTTCGGAGTTCTGTTTTTTTTCTTATGGAGTAAACAATATATCTGGGATGACGTTTTACTAATTAGAGTGTGCAAAATATGTGCACCTAGAAAGCCTGTCGTGCCAGTTAGTAAAAAGACCTTTTCACAATTGTTGTTAATCTGTCGTTGATTAATAATTGGTGAACGGGTATAACTCTCTCTAATGTAAAGAGTGTATCGATCAACAATGTCTTCTATGGCCAATTGATTTTGTTGCTTCTGCTTCTCGTGATCATTAACTTTTGGTTGCTTATTTCCGCTTGCGATATCCATTACGAATTTAGTGATGGAATCAATATTTGGATGATCATTGATGAAGGAAGTCGGAATGTCGATACCGATCGGAAGAATATCTTTGATCTTCTTCGTGAACGCAAAACATGTTGATTCGTTTATTGCAACTTTTACCAGAGGCACCGAATGATCATCCAAATCTTTCAATGGCACACCCATGACCATCGCTGCTGTATATTGCAAGTAATTTCTTATATCAACATCTTTCAGTTCTGACTTATCTGTAATCGTTTCGTCGAAGGCATTGCTAACCTTTTCATTGGATTTTTCTTCACTGCTATCAATAACGAAATTATCGTAATGATGGTTCAATGCTTCGGTTGCTACCTCCCAAGAACCGTCATCATCACCGTCTTGTGAATTACTGAGATGGGTCAGTATGGTCATTTGAGATTGAGGGATCAAATCATGTTCTTCAAGTTTGGTGTCAGGGACCTTATATACCTTTTCGGTATGGATTTCTGCTGCATCGCTTGCCAACATTGAATTTTGTGAATCAGAAACAAATATTTCAGTAATTTCAATAATCACTTGGGAATTACTAATTGTTATCACTTTTCGGGGAAATTAACGGTAGCGTGAAAATACCCCAAGAATGATATGCAAGAAAAAAAAAAACTTCATATCAGAAATCAAATCAAAAAGGCTCTGGATAACAGATGTGATCCAACCAGAAATGGATGCTAGGCTCAGTC